TCTACTAAAAAACAGAACACTACGACTCAAGTATTTCTCATACCGGGTCTCGACGGATGTGGAACTGTATTTAATCACTTAGCACCAAATATTGAATTTTCAGCAACGTCTTTACATTATAACGCAAACATCGATGGTACTACAAACTTTATATCTGAGACAACTGATTATCTTACAAACGTACGCAATTGCATTAATATTTTTATATTATTAAAACATTATTTATTTTGTTTTATATTGACGGAGAATTATTTTTGTTTAAGAGAAAAATTTCATCGAAAATATTTAATATTTTTACAGCATATATTACCGAAGTTGAAAGACGGAAAAGATTTTGTAATAGTAGGATACTCCTTTGGATCTGTTTTTGCAGTTGAGTTGACAAGAAGATTGGAAGCAATGAATTTTAATTGCCGACTAGTTCTTATCGATGGCGCTCCTGAACAAATGCGAAAGCTACATGAATATTTTACATCAGATATTAACGATGCAGATATTCAGATTTCGATTTTAACTAATATGATGGACGTTTATTCTGTAGAAAGTAGTGAAAAGGTGTAATTTTTCTTTATGTTTACATTAAAATTATAATGGATACATATATATATATATATATATATATATATATATATATATAGTTTATTATGTGTTTATACATACAAATTTATAATATGTGTCTATATAATACATGTATGTATATATGTGTGCGTGTGTGCGTTTATTTTTTTTATGGATATCAATATCAATCTTTTTGTTTTGTTTGTTGTTCTTGTATTTCAAGTATTTTTTATTTTGAAGTAAAATTTATATATACAAATTAATATTTTTTGATACAGACTTTAATGGAGCTGAAGAAATGTATTACATGGGAAGAGAGATTAAATATTTTTGCCAAACAACTCTTGACCATGAATACATCACTGTCACATGAAAATCTAAAAACTTTGTGCACAAGAATTTATAAAAATTTATTTGTTATGCAACAATATGATTCTACGTTACCGCCTATCAAATCTCCAATAATATTGTTAAAACCTACGAATCCGCTACCTGTACCCATAACCGAGGACGATTATGGTTTGCAGAAGGTATTTAAAAAACATATACGCTTATCAGTATGTGATAAATTAAACTTAATACAACTTTTTATTAATGATGTATATATGTATATTTATTTAAGATAACGCAAAATGTGGTGAAAGTACATTACATCGAAGGTAATCATGTTACTATCATGAAGAACGAGAAAGTGTCAGCAGCAATTAATGGAGAACCGCCATTTATATTTTAATACTTTACTGTAAACTAA